CTATAACACCCACAGCTCACAGGGACAGTGAGGACACTGCCCTATAACACCCACAGCTCACAGGGACAGTGAGGACACTGCCCTATAACACCCCACAGCTCCTATGGGGACAGTGAGGACACTGCCCTATAACAGCTCACAGGGACAGTGAGGACACTGCCCTATAACACCCACAGCTCACAGGGACAGTGAGGACACTGCCCTATAACACCCCCCAGCTCATATGGGGACAGTGAGGACACTGCCCCATAACACCCATAGCTCATATGGGGACAGTGAGGACACTGCCCTATAACACCCCCCAGCTCACAGGGACAGTGAGGACACTGCCCTAGAACACCCACAGCTGATATGGGGACAGTGAGGACACTGCCCTATAACACCCCACAGCTCATATGGGGACAGTGAGGACACTGCCCTATAACACCCCCCAGCAGCCTCTCACCCAGCCCAGACTGGCAGGGACAGTGAGGTCACTGCCCCTCCCCTGCCCTGGAGCCCCAGAGTGGCCGGTGGGTCCCAGACCCCTCCTGGGGGGTGCCCAGAGGGCCCCAAGCAGATCCAAGCCCAGCTCTGCCCCCTGTACCAGCCCTGCCATCGCCCCCGGGGGAGCTGCTCTGCCACCAGGGCCCGGGGGCAGCCCCAGGATCTGTCTCTCCCTCTTCTTCCTCCTCTCTTCTTGCTCCCTCTGCTCCTCTTTCCCTGCCCCTTTCCTGATGCTCGGGGTGGCTTTGGGAGCTGCAGGGGTTGGATTTTGGCTTCGATGCTGTGGATCAGTCTGGGCTGGGTCAGGATTGTGGTGGAACATTTTTGGCCAGTTTGTGGGGTGCCCTTTTTGAACTCTTGCCAAGTTCCCTCATTTTCTCCCCCCAGTTAATAAAAGCACCTCTGGGAACAAGTCTGTGCCTCGTTGCCTCGACACTTTCTCGAGGTGTTAAAGAACCCTAAATCCATATTTTAAATAAAACTCCTGGCTGAGCCCATGAGCTGCAGCTCCGGGGCTGGAATGTTACAGGGAAGACTTTGGGTTTTTTATTCCATGCTGGCTGATGCAGGGATACCCCACTGTGCAGGGAGAGTGGGATTCACCATGGGGTTCCTCAGGGAATGCTCCATGGTCTCCACCTTTTGGGTGTCCCCCTCCCCGGCAGAAGGAAGGGCTCTGCTACCTGGAGCCACATCCAGACTCGTGGGGAAGGATGAAAACACCCCCCAAGTCGTTGCTTTTGCTCCTTAAATCCCTGAGCTCAGCTTTGCTCTGTGCTTCTCACCCCAACATGGCTTGGGAGAGGGAAGGGATGGAGTCCCCATTCCCAGAAGGGTTCCAGAGGTGTGGATGTGGCACTTGGGGACGAGGGTCAGGGGTGGCCTTGGCAGTGCTGGGGGAATTG